TGACAGCCCAAAGGTGAATGTGTTTTGTGCCCTTAGCAAAGTTAAAGTGTACGGCCCGTTCTTTTTCCATGAGAGAACCATCAATGGTATCGTGTATCTGGATATGCTCGAAAATTTTCTCATACCACAGTTAGACGAAGATGACCAAAAAGGACGCATTCACTTCCAGCAAGACGGCGCACCACCTCACTACCTCACAGAAGTCCGGGATTTCCTCAATAAGAGTTTCCCAGGTCGGTGGATTGGTCGAACAGGGTCGATAGCATGGCCACCTCGTTCTCCATATTTGATAGCTCTCGATTTTTTCTTATGGGGTTTCATTAAAGATCGTGTGTATGTTCCACCCTTACCTGCCAATCTCACTGAGCTCAAAGCTCGAATCACCGCCGCTGTTGCAGAAGTGACACCGGATATGCTGGATCGTGTTTGGCAAGAAATTGATTTCAGGTGGGGTGTCTGCAGTATCACCAATGGCAATCACATCGAACCAAAATGACTGTTTGAGGTAAACCTTGATTTGTTTTGCTACAAAATGACACCTCAACCGATTCTGTAAGCCTTCTGAATAAATTTCTATACACTTTCAAAGTTGTAAAGTCCTTTTTGAATCACCCTGTATTTATGATTATGTACTCATGAATTCTGTTTGTTTCAGGATCGATCCGCACGACACTGTTGGCCGGTTCCACTTTCAATGTGACGTGGCATCTTGCTTATCCACACAGGGTACGTATCTCCACTCCAAAAGTAGCTCCAGAGGAAGATACCCGTATTGGCAAACGGAGTGTATCTGTTTCCTCAAACAAATGTAGAACTTCGTATGAGCATTGTGACACTGGGGTCGTTCTAGTCATTCTACATCTAACTTGTTTATACGATGAATCATTTTGAATAAATTTTATGACGTTCAATTTGAGTTTCATACGTAAAGGATTGTTGTGGTCCCACAAGACAGGAGTGAAGTTCGCTCACGCAATAGGTCTGTAGACATTAGTACATTTGGAAACAGACTCCACATTTAAATATGTTGAATAAACAGTAACAGAAAAGTGGTAATTGGTCATTGGCATGAGGGTTAAGTATTTAACTGACTCCACATTTAAATATGTTGAATAAACAGTAACAGAAAAGTGGTAATTGGTCATTGGCATGAGGGTTAAGTATTTAACTGCAGGAATATATTTTCCCTGTCACCTTACGTTTCTCGGATAATCTTAGCCATCTCCTTGTGTGAGGCTTCGGAACCGTTTTTCAACAGTCGGTAAGACTCCTTGGAAGAGGGCTGCCCTTTCGCAAGGTCTCTGCCTACACAGTATAACACAGCACACAAAGACATGTGCAAAATCCATGCTTCCAGCGGGATTCTAACCCGCGAAGCCAGCATTAAGACCCGCGCCTTAGACCGCACTTGAGATCGGCAGTTGTGGGCCTCCATATTGTAAAATGTGTTACACAGTCCATCACATTGCCTCGGAGAAAGCTTAGATGGGAATGTAATATTAAAACGGATATTAAAGATACAGGGTTTGAAGGTCTGGACTAGATTCATCTGGCTCAGGGAAAAATATAATAGCTGCTTCCTTGAAGGCAGATAATTTATTGGCCTTTTGAACAACCATGAAATAACCCAAAAAGGCCCTTTAACGTGAGTTCTGTGAAAACTTGCATAAGGCCGTTACAGTGGCCAAACGTGGTTCACGTTGGATCAAGTCCTGAGGTCAGAGGACAACAAACACGCCAACCAGTTTGACGTCATAATTCGAGAAAACGCTGCAACGTATACAAAATACTGGGAAATTCGTATAACAGCTCCAAGCAAGCAGTCGTTGGCACAAAATGTGGGCCACAACATCTTAGCAGTACTTCTTCCGTAACAATATTATTATTCTGCAAAAATTTCTCATCAGTTCAGAGGTCAGAAATGAATGCATATCTCTGCTATTACAGGCCAGAGGCTTTGGATCAGAACACTTTCACTTTGTTACATGTAGATTAGCCTACATGCTCCCTACGTATGTATACCACGAGGCTTGCTTCACTCTGAGATGCAGTAACAATGGACAAAACACGGTTTGCGGAAACATTCAGTTACACCCGCAGAGAAATTATGATTTTATTGGCCATTTACATGATATTTTTTTAAAAGAAACCTTTTCTAATATTATGTTTAAACTAACGTAGGAGTCTGTAAAAGTCACAGATATTTAACATTAATTGTTGAGAGACTGTGCAACACATTTGTTTCACTAATTTTTTCAGATACCACAAGAGCCATTGCTTCTAACCGAGATATCTCGAACGTATCGTGGGAAGTGTTAATAACAGACTCATTAATTGTCACATTCTCATAGATAGTAGAAAGAGAATATTATACTGTCAGAAATAAATAAATATGAATATACCGATTTCGACGGAAAACAAAAGTTTTGCAGTCCCAAAAACACGTGTTAACTATTTTGGTTTATTATATCTACAAAAGTTTACGATTACTTAAATTATGAGCCCACTCCAGATCCTGTGCAAATCTCATCTTAACGTCTAGAAAACACCATTCAGAGTTTAGGATACCGTGTTCGTACTAGTTGATAAGAATATTAGATTTATGTTGAATGAATGTTAACGGGATGGGGACGCCTAACCGATCCTTGCACCGTGACCACTTCCCGATCTCTTGTTCATTTACATTTGTGTTATTTTGCATACTATAAAATATGTCAGTGTGAATAACAAGGAGGGCGAGATGGTGCATCCAGTTAGCACGGGGAGACGAAAACTGTGTACAAGAACCCGGAAGGAAACAGACCACTTGGAAGACCTAGGCGTACGTGGAACATTAAAATGGTTATTAGGGAAATTTGGCTTAGAGGATTTAATTCAATTGACTCTCGATGGGGGTCAGTGGTGGGCCGATGTGGACACGGCATTGTACATCTGGGTTCCATAAAAGACGAGGAATGTGACTAGCTGGACGTTCTATTTGATTCTCGAGAAGGACTCTTTTTATGGAGCTGATTGGAATAATTGATAGATATCTTCCAATTATTTTTGCTGCAGAATATTTCTTCCAAGACTATCCTGCCCGCACTCAGTTCGAAATAGCCCCCATCTGGCCACCGAACAAGAGTAATTGCCTATTCCTGCAATGGAATATGACATTGAATATTATTTAGGATTACTTCCGCTCACATTATAGTATATTGATTGGTTCTTAATCACCAAGTCGTATAATTATTAACTTACAATCTCTGCTAGCCTCTGCATGATGACGGGGGGTATTTGAAGACAAAGCCTAGAATCTTTTACTGTTCGAAATTTAAAAGGCTTATAACATCTTTCTCTGGACCTTCTTGGAAGTTCGACTTGAATAACCTACTGGAATGCCATTACTTAGGTCGCAGAAGGACGCAGTACGTCTGCACGGGCCGAAATTTTAGAATTTCGCCCGGCTCGGTCCGAGGAGCATTTGGCCCGAACCCGAAGTTTATCTTCAAATATGTTTTTCGTACTTCACCCAAGCCTGATTTCCTTTTATTCCAACCCTAATGAAGATCGATCTCTGCACAATATAATCACCCCTGACTAGCGGATCATGAATACATTTTTCTTTTAGTGCATAAATGCCACTGATCCTTGAATGAACTATTTAACGAGGCTCCGAGAATATCTGAGGCTATTTTGGCGTTTGAGAAACGGTACAAAGATTTCAGATGCCATGTCTGCAAGGTGCTATGTCGATATATGTTTGTTAGGGGGAGTTACGAAAATATCCGAGAAAATCAAGTAGATGGAATTTGATCCGAAGCCCGACAGTATCTTGAGCAAATGATGAGCGCAACTTGGAATAAATTTTTCTTTGCTAAATAAGAGTCCCAAGAAATCCCGAACTATTTTATTTGCGTTTGACTCCTCTCATTTGTACGAAGCCCGGACCCTAACACAATCTGTGCTACAGGCCCGCGCCCGTGCAGACCTCGAGTGCGGGCGTAGAGGTGGTTGACCAGCGTGACCCATTCGAGACACATGTGCGCACAGATCGTGACCAAGTCTTAATTAATTGGGTGTCATGGCAGCATATGACACTTCCGTCTCCAACTTACGTATACAGCTGAGTGGCGCTTGCAAGACTCATCGCTTTGACCGGCAAAACTGAACACCAGTTTCGATCTCTTGCAGCAATTATCTTGACACTACAACAGAAACGTGTCTCCAAGCTCATATTCCTTGTGATTGTGCATACCTCATTGGCACTACGTATGTCCAATACGAATACATTTTCTTCTGGAAGTTGTCCATTGCCTAACTGTTGCGGCCGAGTGGTTGTCACTCCTGCTTCGTATCCGGATGTCCTGAGTTCAAATATCGGTCCGGAGACTCGTTATCTTGAATGAAGACTTTTGTTGTTTTCTTCAGTCCCTTCGAGAAAATGACAAGATGGTGCTTTGGCTGAGGCCATGAACGCCTTCTTCCATACCCTTTCCAATTCAGTATTTATTTATCGTCTTGTCATTCGACGCTGTGTGGTCTGAGCTACTGGCTGCGTCGTTAAATAAACCCCAAATAAAATAAGTACATTTGCCTACATTACTATCTTGTGGGCATAATAGATGCAAAGGCATATATTATGCAAACCAAAGACATTATTCACTTCGGAACTGAGACAGGAGGCTACAAAGTTCTGCCGCTGTGAAATAATGTTTGTAGTATGGGTAGTATGTGTTTACTTATCTGCTGCCCCTCCCAACCCATCTAATCGCTTTGCCTTTTATTTCTAACGGACGTAGATCGCACATGTTCTTCCCGACTTCTGTAATTTATTTCTTTTCCACACAGAACATAATCATTGTCAAACGGACGTCGTTTCTTGAGCTTAATACCTGCTTCGTATTTGGCAGGTCTTGGGTTCCAGCCTTGGCACGGACACCCAATGTTCTGAGGGTTTTCGTGACTGTCCTCCGTCCGTCCAGGCAAATGCCGGAACATTACCTTAAAGTATGCCACAGCCGCTTCCTTCCACATTATATCCAATTCATTGTTAATTAACCGTACTACAATTCAAAGCTGTACAGTCTAAGTTTCTAACAGCATCGTTAAAAACTTTCGAAAGTTGGTCGAGCTACTCTCATTGTCCATAATTTGAATAATCAACTGCTAAAGAAAGACCGTGCTATCAAAAGCGGAGAATAGATCCGAATTTCTTTGTAAGGATTTAGTCAGGCCTAAATATGGGAAATAAGTGGGCTCGTACATTAAAATTACTTTATAATACATGAAAAGTATTCAGAAAGCTTCTTTCCCACGCTACCACTGAAGACTGTAATGCGACATGACGAGTTTCTTTTTGTTCCATTTCTTTGAGGCTACACGAGACATTTCGGGGCGGACAAAGAACACTAAGGAGATGTAGGCGTAGGATTAGGAAATATCCCATTTGTTCTGACTTATTGCCCAATTTTTCATAAGAACTGGGTCCTAAATAAACTGGTGCGTACTGTTACCGTGGACTATGTAACGATTTGCACTACTGCATTTTGCGTTGTAAGATCAATGACCACCTAGAATGAGGAACCTAACTGTCCAGTGCGTAAGGTCCGGTCGACTGCATGCGTGTGTGTAGTCGGATCGGCGTGCTGCTAAGGTGATTTGTATCTGGAACCGTTTTCCCAGATCTCATGACCTGTCCTAGCATTTCCTTTCTGTTGTCATGAGGTGTGTCGAACCGACAGGAT